GAAAACCAATTGCCTTGAAAACTGCAAGGACTCGTCCAAGCAGTCACTGCAGGGTCAGCAATGACTGAGCACAGACAAAAACAAAAAACAAAACAGGGCTACAGGTTACCTACTGTTACCATTGATTATGAGCTCAATAATATCAGGAGGTGTAAGGGGTCTCTCATTCAGCCCCACCCAGATAAGATAGCCTGGAATGAAAGGAGCTGGCGTTGCTTTCACTGGTACTTGTTGCAACCCCCTTCCCCAGGAGTCATGATTAAGGCTAAAAAAAAAAAAAATGTCTTCCTCTTTCTTTAATAAAAGAAAACACAAGGATGTTTTAAAACCAGCATGGCCGGCTGGAGGATCCTGGGACTTGAAGTCCACACATCTTAAAGTTACCAAGGCTGAGAAACACTCGTGTAGACTATCTGAAGGATAGACAATTCCCAAGACACAAGCTGGCATCCAAAGTATTTACAGTATTACTTATTTATTAGAAAACACAGGGTAACAAAGAGAAGCATGGATGAGTATTACAAACCAATAGTATGCATAAACAAAATAATAATAGATAAGCTCATCTGAAATGGAGATTGAGCCTCCTGGGATAATAGTTGTGAAACTAATAAGACAAGGGTTTGAGCACATTGAAAATAAAATAAAAACTTGTAACCCAGTCCAACTGTTTACTTATAACTGATCCTGGAACTCTACATGCAATTGATTCTTTTCTGAGTTCTGGAAACTTCTCTTTCCATATTACTTGGATCAGGGCAGTCTTTTCCTTCCCCAAACAGACCTTGAGATAAAATGCCTCTAGCAAAGTCCTTTCTGGCTAGTTAACTTCAGGGCAGGAGGGGGGCAGGGGTGTAGGAGAGGGAATTTAGCCAAATGGGCCTCCTGGCTTTCCTGACTAGAAGGGGAAGATTGTATCACCTGTATATCAATTCTGCTCTGTTGAGGAACCCTGAAATTTGGCTTGCTAGAGATACTTGTTACAGGAGGAGTTTTTTATAACTTTTTTTCTTTCAGAACACACCAGCGCAAAGCATTGTAAAGCGTCCAAACCAGCAGCTCCAGTCATCTGCTCCAAGGAATAGTAATTTGCGCGAATTGCCAATAGCACCTTTGCATGCGATCGAAGCCGCTAACAACCGACGAACTTCAGCTCCTGCTGCTCAAGTGAAACCTATTACTAGCACCACATCTGCTTTGAGGCCTGTCACAGGGGTCAAGAACCAACTAGGAAGGACTGAGACCAAGCCTAGAGTCATTCCCATGACTCAGCCTAAAATGGAGGTCAAATCTGAACCAGAGGTAGGGCTTCCATCTAGCAAAGGTCCATTGGGTACTCATCTTCATTTCAGGAGCGGTTTTGACCACAAGTCATTTGAGATAGTGTCTGTATTCTTGGTAGTTTGCAGCCTGTGTTCCAGTTTTAGTACCTGCCAAACTGTATTCTTGTTTATGTTCAGGAACTTTAAAAAAAATTGATTTAACAGACTATTCAGGGAGAAGAGGTGTTTGTTAAGCCCCAATGTCTATTCAATCTTTTGTGCATGCATAAAAAGCCTGATTGCCATTTTACACGTGTCTAAAAGTACGCAGCCTGAAGTGCGCTGTTGCATTGCAAATGGAAGCGAAGGAAAACTCCTTCCCACCAATCTTTCTGCTGGCCTACAGCTCCATTCTTTCCATCTTTTGTTCGATGTATAGAGCTGCCCATCTCACAGCAGTGATTCTGGGTGGTGTACAGAGTCCCATCATAGCAGTACAAACTATTAAACCATCACAACAGTACAAACTCATCATGCTCCAGTTGATAACCCCCAAAACAAAACCATATCACCAACCCCAACCAAGCTCACCAATGCTAATCAGGCTCACCACCCAAAAAACAGAGGAACAGACCTTCAGAGCCCTACAAAAGGCTAACAGGGTTGGGGCCATCAGAATTTGCAGCGGGATGCTGTTTCACAGGGCAGGTATAGCCACAAAGAAGGCTTGCCTAGTCCCAGTTTTTCCAGTACTTTCCTGTTGATCTGCTTGCTGGCCTGCCACCCTCTCAGTCTGTCCACTGAACTTCCCACTGTACCCCTCCATTCTTCCCAGCCCTTTCCCCCAGTCTCTCTGCCAACTGGCCCATTGCCCTAAGTTCCCAGCATTTTTCTGCCAAATTTCCCACCAGCGTTCCCATCCTTGATCTT